ACCGTCGTGGGGGGGGGGGGGGGGGGCTGGAAAAACCTATCTAAGAGCAAGCTGGCTCAGAGGATCAGGTGAGGATTACTTTGTTTTTTCTCCCTAGACACAAATGAGCAGTTAACCTTTGCAGAGAGGTGGTATTCCCACTGCAAGGGTTAATAAAAGTATTGCCTAGAGTTCTTCTTTAAGCCACTGAATTTGCATAACAGACAGGAAAGTAAAATTTACAGAATTTGCAGCCTCCATATTCTCTCAGTACAGGTGTCCTATAAATTAAACCCATCATGACAAGTATGCAGCCTTTGCTGACCTAGCCCCCCAAAAAACTAGTTTCTTGAACTTAATGACGATCCTCTGGTTTCAGTATGTTATATGCCACGGATCTAAAACAAGTATACATATCAGGTCCTGAAGTCAATTTCTGTATACATGTTCCTAATCAGTGGCTGAGAAATTATTAAAGCCAAAGCACCGGCATGGCAGCCAGGAGCCTAGCATAAAAGCCAGCAGCATAACAGCTTAGCAAGACACGTATTAACATGTGGTTTACGTTTTTTTGTTTCTTCCGTTTGCTTACTGGTCACAGCCTTGATGGAGATACAATTATGAAGAAATACTAATTGTTACTGCTTGTGTCTCCTTTAATTTACTGGTCAAAACCATAACCAAGATACAGTTATAAAAAAAAAAGTTGAACAGAATTTGACACTGTCAGAATGATAAATCCTTTGTAGGGAACCAAAATCTACTCAAACTGGCTAAATAAGTGGTTATATAAGATGGCATTGGCTTCTTATATGTTTTGCAGTGAATTAATTGCATCAGCTTTCATATCATCTCTTTCCTCCTACTCTTGCATGGTAAGTTTGGTAACAGCAGAGATCTTTCTGCCAGAATACACAGGTGAAATGCAGTGGGCTACAGATGCAACAAGCCATTCTCACGTATTGCACCATGAGACTCAGGTGAACAGCCTGCTCTGCTGTTGCTACTTACCAGCTAAAAGAATAATGAATACTATTGTAGGTGGTTGTGTGCAATACCCTAAAAGTTCCATGTTGGCCGCTATGGATTTTATAATCCAATATGCAGTGGTGATGAAAGATACCAAGATCGTGCACTGAATTAAACTAGTCACCAAGTTGTTGTCAAATAACCAAAGCATAGCAACTTTGCTAAATTTGGTCTAGACATTGCGGCTTTAAAGAAGAAATCTAAGAATTTAAAAGACTTACCCTTGCAGTGGGGTTACCCCCGCACTGCAAGTGTTACATAGTATTTGAGGCTGAATAAAGACACAGGTCCATTGAGTTTAACCATTGTGAGCGTGTGAGTCTCTGTGTGTTCCAGTGTGTGAAGAGTACCTGTACTATGTTATGGTCTCTGAAGAAGGTATCTAAATGATTTTTAATTAGGGATGTCCAGATACCAGTGCAGATACTTGGCATTTTCACAAGAACTATCAGGGTTGCAGCAGTTGCAATTGGGACCTGGTTTTGGCGTTCCACCACTGTCCTGAAATCAGTAGTTGATATTGTTTTAGAAAAACTGTCACATGACAATAAACAAAAATGTATCAGTACTTGTACTTGGAAAAATGGTATCGGTGCATCTCTAATATATATTTATAAAAAAAAAAATAATACATTAAAATGGGGATGTACAAATCCCAGGAGCTCCGTGTGCTCCTTAAAAATGACAGCTGTCTCTAGTCTAGTGCTGGAGTTGGAAAAGTATCTGTACATGTACTTGTACTGAGTACGGTACTTGGTATCTGAACATCCCTATTTTTAATGATTCCATACTTTCGCCTGATACCACTGTGTGTGGAAGAGAGTTCTACAATTTTATCATTCTAATAGAACAGTATCCCTTTTGCCCCTGGTGCTTAAATCTTCTCCCCCCTAATTTTAGGTGGTGGCCTCTTGTCTTCTTTAGGGAGTTTACAGTAAAATATGTATTACTGACATTACCATCAACATGTACATCAAAATCCTGTCCCCTCCTAATCGCCTCATTTCCAAAGTGAACAAGTTTAAATTTGGCAATCTTTCCTCATTGCTTTGATCCTCCAGCCCCTTAATTAGCTTTGTTTCCCTTCTCTGAACTCTGTAACTCTGTCCAGTTCAAGGACATCCTTTCTGTGGATTGGTGACCCAAATTGAACCACATACTCAAGATGAGGCCGAACCAGTGATCTATAAAGTGGCAAGCTTATTGCTTTGCCTCTTAGAGTACATTCCCTTTTCATGCATGGTATTGGTAGTACTCTGCTAGCTTTCTTTGTGGCAGTCTGACTTTGCATGCTATTGTTTACTGTGCAGTCAATCATGACCCCCAAATCTTTTTCCACTTCTGACTTCCCTAGTGAAGCTCCCATTAACGTGTAGTCCGCCTTTTTTAGCCCAAAAACGCCTTACTTTACATTTTTCAATATTAAATCTCATCTGCCATGTAGTTGTCCACTCCCCCATTTGATCTTGGTCCTCCTGTAATGTTGTAATGTCTAAGTTAGTCTTTTTTTTACCGTGTCAATTTTAGTTTCATCAGCAAACACAGAAACATGTCATTGAAAACCTCCCCCAATGTCATTATTAAAGAGGATAGGATTGGGCCTAGCCCAAGGCTCACATAAAGCTGATATACTCACTCGATCCTCCATCCCGCCCGCAGTGGTTGGCAATCACCTCTCTGCCCGACTTGTGAAATGTCCCTCAGCGTCCTCACGCCTAATGCAAGTTATTGGGCCTGCACTAGACGGAATGATGTCAGCGCTCCTTAGACTGTTGGAGCCCAGGGCAGAAAAGGCTAGGAGGACAAGTCAAGCAGCCCGGCACAACCAAGAACCAGGTAAGTATATTAAGTTATTAGAAGGGGCTTTATTTAAGCCCCTTAGACAGAACTCTTAAAGTACAGGGTTAGCCCCTCTGCAAGAGTATGTTTTTTTTAAATTCCCGGAGGTCTTCTTTCATGACTTCCAGTCAGGAAAGGGCTATTCATTGGATTACACAATGTTAAAAATACTATCTTAAAGGGCCCATATGAAAGCGAGTTACGGTTTAGCTCAGAACACTAAGGGTTAATGGCAACCACTGCTCTATTACATACTAAAGGGATGACTGAGCGCTAAACTAGTTTTGGAGACGGATGGCCAGCATCATTAAAAAGATGATTAATAGCTGGCTAGACAAATAGTACATTAAACATGTTCCTAAAACTTCAATTTACAAGTCTTTCAAAATGCAGCAACATTAAACTTCATATTTCTGTCGGCAGCACCCCACTGTGCTAATTACTGGGGTACAGCTGCTTTCTATTACAGGCAGAATGTTTCCCTCTTCATGCAGTGTTAAGGTGGGACTGTATCTAAATGCTAACAAATGCTGTGGAGGAAGAGGGTTAGGCAGCTATGGATCATACTTGCTCTCTCCAAAACCCAAGCCAGTAAAGGAAGCAATGCCTTGCTAGTGTCCCTTACAAAATGGTGAGTGGCTTCTTTGCCCTCTTTAGCGATCCTGTCACTGGTGGCAATTGGCTTTCATTGGTCTATTGGTCATTGACCTAAGGCTGGAAAGGAGTTGTCATCACTAAACTAATCTTTCCACAGCACACCTATATAGAGAGGAGCTGTGCAATAAGAGATGCGCATCAGCATAAATCAATAAAGCTAACCTGTAATAGGGCTTCATATCAAACTTCCAAAATACTTTCAAAACTAACTTGTTAGGATAGAAGCTGAAAGCTTATTGCAAAGCTCCATTCTTCAAAAACAAGTCAGCAATGGCAGCTCCCATAGGCCTTTCCTGACAAGTTTATTTGAAACCCAGAACTCAGAACATGTGCAGAGCCTATCTTCCATATCCTCTTCCTTTGTAACAAGTTGTTTTTCTTAGCTCTACAGGTGCCCTTAAAGAAGATCACATACCCTTGATCTTGTGAACCATCTTCTGAAACATTCTTCAGTTCCGAGGGTCCATGAAGTTCCTCTTCCTTCAGTTTTTTCTTTCCAAACTCTGAGGGATAAACCTGAGGGATTCAACAAACTGGTTACTAAAAACTTCAGTTCACTATTATCGTGGCATATTAGTGGTGCTTACTTCATTTATCGCTTCTGTTTGAGGTGGATGTATATCCAAAACCTTGTTCTCGGTTTTGGATACAGTAAGCACCGGTTAGAACCCCTGTTTGTGTCCCCATCTCTATGGATCCTAGTGATCCAAAAATGTACAATTATCACTGGAACAGGAGATCAGGGGAAATCTTTTATTGTAGATACCCATTCTTAAGATAACCTACGAGGGGACTTTCTCTCTCTTTGGGAAGATTTATGCTTACTTCATGTTGTGTCTCTGATGCAGGAAGTGAAGGGAGACAAATCTCCCAAACAGGGCACAGACAGAAAAAAAACAAAACCTAAAAGGGGTTCTAAACACCGCCTACAATATTCAAAGCAAAAAAAAGGGTTTGGATTTAGAATACACTTCACCATATGTGCAAAGAATGTCAAGCACATGCAGCTCAAAGCAGAACTCCGGGGGAAAAAAATAATTAACCCTTGCAGTGGTGCTACCCAAGCACTGCAAGGGTTAACTGCTCGTTTTCATTTAGGTAGGAAAATAACAGCAGCAAAAGGGTTTAAAAAAACTCCACCCATTGATCCTGCCAGAAAACCAGTGAGCTGATGTTCTATCCTGTGTTCTATGCGTGTGGCACGCTTATCAGTTAGCATTGTTCTCAACAATCTCTGAAACTATAGAACCCCCCTCCCCCCATTAAGAGGAGGACAATGCTGCTTCTTCATAGCAACTATACGGTGAGTGAACATTGTCATCCTAGGACAGGGCAAAAAGCCTTAAAAAGAAAACTAATGCAGCCACATCTAAGAACTGCTAAGCTGCAATATATCAAATATTGTTCTTAGGTTTAGATACGCTTTAATCATAACTTATAACAACTACAAACTATTAGCTTTCTAAATGCCTTACCTTTACAGAGAAAACAATTCCTTCTTTGGGCTTAAAGGAGTTAAAGAGTGCGAGTAGGTCTTTAGCCTTCAGTCTGTCCCAGTCCATATTGCACACAGCCAGCCTCCTGGTAATCTATTGCATTCAACAAAATATGGATTTAAAATACTGCAGAAATAACTAAATACAAGATGACAACTAACAGATGAAATGGAACGCTGCTTGCTGCTGAAACAAGCATGATTACTGTATATCATGACAATCAGCCATGGCGTTACCTTATGTTAAAAAATATATATATCTTATTTCTATAAAGCCAAAAGAGCTTACCATCTAATGTCCCTACCACCACTATACAAACGTGCACATGGTAGGAATAACTTGTGTCAAGCCCAATAACTAGTGATGCACCGATACCGGTATCAATACTGCGCATTTTCAGAAGTACTCATACTCGTGAAAATGCCCCGATACTAAAAACCAATACCGGCGTTTTAATATTTCAAACGCGCTTGCTGGGGGCTTCGTCAGCCTTCTTGCGAACCACGCCGTGCCTGCTTACAGCACTTCCGCCGCCCACACATCTCCACCTCCTGAGACCTTCGGCCCCGAAGCAGCAGAATATGTAGCAACATATTATTCTGCATTGCTGTATAATGCATTGCTGGGATTTGTAGTCCCCTATAGCTGGCGCCATTCTGCATTGCTGTATAATGCATTGCTGGGATTTGTAGTCCTCAAAAGCTTGTGCCATTCTGCATTGCTGTATAATGCAGGCCTCTGCAACGCGCGCTACAGAGCCGACCTCTGCAACGCGCGCTACAGCGCCGACCTCTGCAACGCGCGCTACAGCGCCGACCTCTGCAACGCGCGCTACAGCGCCGACCTCTGCAACGCGCGCTACAGCGCCGACCTCTGCAACGCGCGCTACTGACCTCTGTAATGTGCGTTACAGTACTGAGCTCTAATGTGCGTTACTTACAGTACTGAGCTCTGTAATGTGTGTTACAGCACTGACCTCTGTAACGTGCATTACAGCGCTGGTGTGTTTAGGGGCGAAGTTAGGGCTAGGGAAGGGTAGGGATAGTCGCTCAGGACGTGAAATTTTGAGCCCTGGTATAATGTATTGTTGGGATTTGTAGTCCTCTATAGCCGATGGTATTATTCTGCATATTTATGAAAAAAAATATATAAAACAAGCTATTTGCAAATAGAGTCCTTGATGGGACCAGAGCCCAGTGCTGCAACGCAGAAATTCTTTCTGCCATTTCTGCCATTAAACACTGTACTTTTGGTAGTGCTACTAAGGGGGCCATACACGTAAAAACTACATTTTTTTAGAAGGTGGAGACTGTTTTTAGCCTCTTGAATATCCAAACTGCAAGATATCTCTGATACTGGCATTCCTGTTTACCTGGGAGTTTTGGGCGTACTTACCATATTTTGTGCGTTTCATGCCCGGTTTAATTCTCCATAATATAATATAGATAAAACTACAACCAGGAAAATGAGGCCTCTCTAACACCATCTACCGCAGGTATGCAGAACTAGGAACTCAGCCCAGAGATCTCAAGATCAGAGTCCCCAAAAAAACTACAAAAATCGATCTAAGTTTTTTTTTGGATGCCCCCTTTAACAGGCGACAGAAATGAAAAAGTAATAATGTACCAAACTGTTAACTAATCAGATCAGATATGGGCTTTATCTACAACTACACCAATATTACCTGCAATAATAGTAGAATTAGAGCAGGCTGATCTATGGACATTTTCCCCAAGTGTGTGTATATTAGCACACACAAATACCTATTTTGGGCAGTGGCTTAAAGGTAAGCAAACCTGCCTTGCAGCACTGGGGTCCTCACATTGAATCCCAGCCAGGATACTATCTGCATGGAGCTGGACATGCTGGTAGGTTTATTGGCTCCTGTATGTGAGATCAGGACCTTAACATTGTAAGCTCCTTGAGTGCAGGGGCTGATGTGAATGAATAGTATGTAAAGCACTGCGTCAACTGACAGCGCTATATAAATCCCTGTAATACATACCTTTTCTACATAACGGAAACATACAGTGGGTTTATTTTGTCAAGAACGGCCCAGTTTTAAAGAAGAAATCCGGGTAAATGAAATATTTAGCCTTGCAGTGGGGCTACCCTCACACTGCAAAGCTTAAGTGCTTGTTTTGTCTAGGGAGCTAAAATAACAAAGTTATACTCACCCGATCTACAATCCCGGCTTGCTCTCAGACTGCTCCCTTCAGCCTCGCTCCCCATCCGCTCCAGGGGCTTAAGGTCCTGTAAGTCATCACGTCCAATACACTGTACTGGACATGAGGACGCCAAGGGACATTCCTTCACTGGAAAGGAGGAGGAGAAGCTGGAGGGAGCAGTGTAGCAGTCAGCCGGGGCTCGGCTGAGTAGAATTTAGTTATTTTAGTCCCTTAGACGAGCACTTTAAACAAGCACTTTACCCTTCCAGTGCGGGGATACCCCACTGCAAGGGTTAGATTTGATTTGCCTAGAGTTCTGCTTTAAAGTGTACATATGACCAAAACTTTTATTTTTGAGAACAGAATTTAAAACCTTCACCAGTTTATTTTTTGCTTTCTGTGTCTCAGGAGGAAGATTTCCCCTCACTTCCTGTTCCTGAGATACAAAAGGAAGTGAGAGGAGATCGCCTAAAAGTGAGGATAGTTCCTCTCTTAGACAGTTGTTACTGGTTGTTTTGGATTAGCCATTACTTCATGTTTCAGTCACATAAAGGCAGGGTGAATCTTGCCAACGGAGACACGGACAGCCATTAAAACTTTACAGAGGGTCTAATCCAGGAGGAGGCAACCTCGGCACTCCAGCTGTGGTGAAACTACAAGCCCCATCAGTCATTGCAAGTTGCTGACAGCCACGACTCCCATAGGCAAAGGCATGATGGGACTTGTAATTCCACTACAGCTGGAGTACCGAGGTTGCCTTCCCATATTCTAATCTTTCCCCACTCAAATATTCATATACGTAAACAATTTCTAGTTTGATATAAATCTGCCACAGTCTTAATAAATAGAAGATAGGACAAACAAGGTAATCCCAGCAGCAGATGGAAACATTGTGTTGCCTTTCTTATACCTGCTCTCCCCGAGGTGCATCCTTGTCCATTTCTCTCCAGTCATGTTCAATTTCTGTATCCTTATTTGAGGTTTCAGCAAATTCATCTTCATCATCCTCTTCTTCAGAACTTGTTTCAATGTTCCCTTTCCCTCGCGCCAGATCTGGACCACTGTCGCTATCCTCCTCCTCTCCTGAGCTTGCATCACCCTCTTCCTCCTCTTCAGAGTCATCACCTTGTGATTCTTCCTCCTCACTGTCTTCATCACTCTCCTCCTCGCCTTCCAGGTCCATGCCGCTCATTTCAGAATCCTCTTCACCAGAAGGAATTTCATTTCCGCTCTCCTCATCACTCTCTGCTTCAAGTCCTGCGGAGCAAGGGTTTTACATAAACAGGATTAATAAGACATTCAGCCACACAGACCCATGTGATAAATATCAGTACAACCTCATAAAAGTTGAATCATATTATACTAAATTCTAATAGTAATATTCCATATTCAAATCTGCAGCTTTTATTAATGAAGGTCATTGCGCAGGCACTTCCTGTTTCAGGGTGACAACGCTGTTTCCCAGTCCCCCAACTGATTCTCTGTGTTTTTGCCCTTTCACAAGCTCCCCAAATGGAGACAAGAAGTGGCACTGTTGATGCACATTACAACAACATGGTCCGCTTTTGTCATCATGAGAAAACCCTCTCTAAAAAAATGCTGTGCAGTCAAAACTGGAGAGCCTGTAGACACAAACTTGCTGCAAAGAAGCTGCAGGAAATCAGCAGTGCCGACATGCAACAAAATGATTTCTAAAAAAGTGGAAACGGCATAAAAAAGGCAATGGTTTATAATACAAAGTTCTTTAGCAAACTAGATTGTATTCAATTAGGATTTAGATGTATTTTCATTTTGTGATTTTATTTAAACACTTTTTCAGTTTCAATGTTTTTATTATTTTGTAGAAGTACATAATACCAGAGTGTCATTAAAGATGGACTGTTCAAACATTTTTTTTTTTTAAAGGAAACCTGTGCTGAATTACTTCAATGCAGACAAGTCCCATGAGGCACTGCAAAACTCTGACAGCCACAATCATGATTGCCAGAGGCAGAGGTATGTGACTTGTAGTTCCACCAATGCTGGAGTGTCGAGGTTGCCTACCACAGGTTTAATGTTCCTCTGCACCCTCATGTCTATACACTGTGTATAGAATGTGATGACCCCGGGAGCTTAGACTGCTGCAGAGGATGTGGAGAAAAACTGAAAGGAACGCCCCAAGAACAAACCGACTCCACAGTTTAGGTGCGTATAACTTTTTTTTTAAACCTAAACAAAAAGAAGCAATTAACCTTTGGAGTCCAGGGACAGCTCCAATGCAAGGGTTAATAACATTTTTATCCTGGAGTCCTTCTTTAAGGTGTGTCAACTGTCAAGGTTGCCAGTGTGTTTATTTCGGCTCTCAGCAGAACTTTTAAACCCTCAAATGGCTGAGGTCCTAACTGATCACATGTGTAGCCCCATGGCAACTACAATCGAAATAGAAGCCAAGATGGGACCTTCCTTGGCTGTAAATGACAGGAGGTTGTAGGTCCGCTTTAATGACTGGTATTTTGACAAGCAACAACTGCTGTATTGGGAGATCTGGGCACAAGGTCCATTTCCCTGATGGAAGATTTTGGTTGTGTAAATAAAGGCAAATTCCAGGAAAAGATGATCATTTACACACAGCACTGGTTGTATAAATTATCATCAAAAAGCCGTGTCTTACGTGTGGAAGGCTGCTGCAAAGTATAAAAATCTTACCTTGCAACATGCTGACTCCTACCTAAAACACTGAGCTTCTGGGCACTGCAGGAAGTCAGGATGCCACTCGAGCAATAAAATGTTGTCCGGTCGCATAACCTGCCCCTGCTCACTACTAGCTCATTCACAAAATAACAATGGGGGGAATTTATCAAAACTGAAGAAGGCAGAATCTGGAGCAATTGCTTATAGTAACCAATCAACTTCTATCATCAGTTTGTTCATTTAGCCTTTGAAAATGAAAGAATAAGCTGATTGGTTGCCATGGGCTACTGCTCCAGATTCTGTCTGCTTCAGTCTGGATAAATTCCCCTCAATGCATTCTGTGAATGGGCTACTACGGTAGTAAGCAGGGATGTGTATGGAGCATTTCACTGCTCGAGTGGCATCCTCACTCCCTGCAGCATCCAGAAGCCCAGCGTTATGTGGAGGAGTCGGTATGTTGGAAGGCAAGGTTTTGTTTTTTTTAGCAAGTATTTGGCTATACAAAAGGCAAAACCATGACTCCAAACAGGAGCCTGCAAATAGCTGGTTTTAGCAGGAAGGCAAGTTTTTTATACTTTCCAGCGACTGCACACACAACACCCAGCTTTTTAATAATTTATACACCCAGTGCAGTGTACAGAGTATAATTTTTTTGTGGCACTTGGATTTAAAGTCCAGACAGACTAGGATTTATTTTTATACAGGTGAAACTCGAATAATTAGAATATCGTGCAAAAGTAATGGCAGTAATTGCTGCAAAAGGGGCCCAAACCAAGTACTGAGTACATATGCATGCTTGTACTTTTCAGAGGTCCGATATTGTTCTATGTACAATCCTTGTTTTATTGATTGCATGTAATATTCTCATTTTCTGAGATTGTGGATTTGGGGTTCTTGGGGTTTTCATGAGCTGTAAGCCATAATCATCACAATTATAACAAATCACGGCTTGAACTATCTTGCTTTGCATGTAATGAGTCTATCTCATATATTAGTTTCACCTTTTAAGTTGCATTAGTGAAATAAATGAACTTTGCACGATATTCTAATTATTCGAGTTTCACCTGTACTTCCAAAGTTAACGCTGGAAGTGCAATTTACATTGCATCTGATTCAAGAAACGCAAAAGTACGGGTTGCGGCCAGTTTAAAACCTGCAGTGTGGGCCACGATCTGTACATAGAGCCCCCCACATGAGGCCGTCTACCGCAAGAGACAGTGAAACACATCTGCTGTCATTACAGATGCATGAAACATACCCAATTCTTCAGAGTCCTCCTGTTCAATCCCCTTCATAGATTTCTTAGCTGCTGCAATACTCTTTGTTGGTTTCTGTTCAGTCTCAAGACATTCTTGCTGCCCCTTGGTTTTTACTTCATATAATGTATTCTCTTTGCCCTTTTTACTGTCAGTATTGTTACTTGGCTCATTGCTTGCCTGGCCTTTTTTCTTTCCTTTTTTTTCAGACATCTTGCTGCATTCTGCCCCGGGTTTCTGTTTCAGCTTGGCCTTTTGTTTACCTTTTTTGGTCCCAGTTTCTTCTTCTTCAGAAGATGCTTCGTCACCAGAATCTGAGAGATCATAGAAGCGCTTTAGGTCCTCGGTGGTATTGTGGTGAATAGGACGCCCTCGTTTATCCATCGTGTAGTTCACACTGAAATTTTTGTCATGGAACATTGACCGAAAGCGCTTGTCTATTTTTATTCTCTTGTCCTTCTCAGGCATCTCCCAAAATCTGGGATCCTTTGTGACTCGGCTGAATCGCTGGTCAGTTTTAAGTTCTTTCTTTGATGACATTTTGGCAGATATTAGAATAACAGACGACTAAGCTAATAATGGTTTGTTTTTCAAGGACCTTTAATAAGAAACAAACAAAATAGTGTTAGCATTAATAAAGGAGACATGATACAGAAAAATTTACATCCCAGCAAAACAAGCCAGCATGATTGACTATGCTAGCCTAATGCGCATGTAGCTTCTGGACCACTTTCCTGTCAAATGCCCTCCTGGGTGGGCAGCACTTGGGGAAGCCACTGACGCACCCGACGCATGTATGCGTGTGTATGTGGGGGGGGCGGGGGACTTTATAACATTTTTTTGTGTTATTTCTTTTATTATTTGTGAATATTTTTTTTAATGCTTTAATTTTTTTAGACTTAACTTTATTGCTATAACATAGGGGACTAAGAAATCCCCTATGCAATAGCCAGTTCACCAAACAGGTCCTCTTTATGGAGACATCAGGGGTCTCCAAGACCTCTGATGTCAACTAGGGACCCCCAGAGAACCTGATGAAGCAGGGGTCTGCTTCATCAGCTTCTCTCCGGTGCATCCGTCCGGCCGTTCATAAACGGCCATGGACGGAAGGTGGTTAAAAAGTGAAGATTTTCTTATAGGGAACATTTAGAATTGACAATTGTAACTATGCAGCACCATGAAAATATTACTCTTTGCTCCAAGCTCGCTCCCGGGATGGACTACAACCTCAATACAAATTAGTAACCTAAATGTGAGATTGTAGTCCATCACAGGAGTGAGCTTGGAGAGGAGGCTACTTTACAACACACACGGGGACCATGGGGAGCAAAGTAGCCACCCTCCAGAAGGAAGGACAGTGTCAGCACCAATTCAGAGATGATTTGGGGATCTATAGCTGAGTGATACACTTATATGATATATTTTTGGTAATAGTTAAGGTACTTGAATGTACTTAAGATTTAACTCCTTAGAGTTTAGTGTCACTTGAACTTATTCCTGAAAATTAGCAGTGCACTACCCAATACGTGCCTGTGCCTAGGCACTACTGTTTCATGGATCTGCAGGGCGAGATCATCTAAGGAACTGTTGCCTCTGACTGCTGGACTCACAAAATTTGCAGTGAGATTTGGTGATGCCTCTCCTGTGCTTCTCACTGTTCTCCCTGCAGAAGAAAAAGATGTACGTGAGGACTTACTGTAGTGCAAGATCTCCTTGCTCCTAGTTCACTCACTCTGTGTTCTGAAGCATTCATCTGATGCTTCTTGATCAATACCCCACTAGTCATCAGAGGGGCAGCTCTGACATGGAGAAGCAAAACCCTACTCCTCTGCAAATAAAATAATTGCCCACCTACAGACACAGCACAGAAGCATTGGCAAATTATTCATGGAAACAAATAAAAAAAAAAGTAATTCCTTTCCACAGCCACCAGTTGCTGCAAGCAGCATTTATTTTGACAAGATGCAGCTTGGGGCAATTTAATATGAGCTCAGATGTATTGAAATCAAATGGCCAGGCAAATGGTGCCCAGCATCATTTAACCCACTTCTTGTGAACTCCGGGCACCATGGACACACACACACTGGAGGCGCACCTTTCTGCTGATTTTCTCCCTGTCCATCTCTCCCCCCATCATACTGCTCCTGGATATGGTCTTTACCACCCAACCCTCCCCATGTCACAGGATAATCAAAGAATAAGTCCTCTTGCATATACATGTTCTGTAATGACCACCAGGTCTGAAGGGAAGCCAGGCAGCAGGAGAGATCAGTACTGACAGCTGCCATATTTCTCAGAGGACAGCTTCTCTATTCGTGCTCATGCACAACGAGCTTTCTCAGCTCTCCAGCTGGTAAAATAGGCACCGAGGTACATGGAAGCATGGGACCCAGCTCCTAATACAAGACAGCTATCAGCCCTGCTCCACATGGCTACTAAGCCAAAACTATTCGGCTGTAGGCGACTACAAATCCCAGTATTCCCTCCGCCAATTTGTGTCTTCTAATGCAGTTTATGTGGCGTGTACTTGTACATCACCTCACCTCTCCGTACCCAGCGATCCTACAACTCAGTACTGACCATGTGTTTCCCTACCACAATCCTCTGCGCCGCTCTCACCTTTCACCCCGGCTACGGCGGCTGCCTGAGATCACACTTATTCACAACGCGATTCTGTGTCCTTGGCTGTAGGAGTGCGGAGAAAGTCTATTACATGTCCTAATTCATTTACACTCATTGTAAGAGACCAGCGACTGATGTGTGTATAGGGGTGATTGATGACTACGGTGTCCCCTTGTATGACCGAGCCCCTCTCTCTGCTCTACATGCACGTATGACTGAACTCCTCTCTCTACTCTACATGCATGTGTGACAGAGCTTCTCTCTCTACTTTACATGCATGCATGACTGAGCTCTCCTCTCTACATGCACGTATGACTGAGCTCCTCTCTCTACTCTACATGCATGTGTGACAGAGCTCCTCTCTCTACTTTACATGCATGTGTGACAGAGCTCCTCTCTCTACTCTACATGCATGTGTGACAGAGCTTCTCTCTCTACTTTACATGCATGCATGACCGAGCTCTCCTCTCTACATGCATGTATGACTGAGCTCCTCTCTCTACTCTACATGCACGTATGACTGAGCTCCTCTATCTACTTTACATGCATGCATGACAGAGCTCTCCTCTACATGCATGTATGAATGAGCTCCTCTCTCTACTCTACATGCATGTGTGACAGAGCTCCTCTCTCTACTTTACATGCATGTGTGACAGAGCTCCTCTCTCTACTCTACATGCATGTGTGACAGAGCTTCTCTCTCTCTCTACTTTACATGCATGCATGTCTGAGCTCTCCTCTCTACATGCATGTATGACTGAGCTCCTCTCTCTACTCTACATGCATGTGTGACAGCTCCTCTCTCCACTTTACATGCATGTGTGACAGAGCTCCTCTCTCTACTCTACATGCATGTGTGACAGAGCTCTCTCTACTTTACATGCATGCATGACTGAGCTCTCCTCTCTACATGCATGTATGGCTGAGCTCCCCTCTCTACTTTACATGCATGTATGACTGAGCTCCTCTCTCTACTCTACATGCACTTATGACTGAGCTCCTCTATCTACTCTACATGTACTTATGACTGAGCTCCTCTATCTACTCTACATGTACGTATGGCTGAGCTCCTCTCTCTACTCTATATGCACGTATGACTGAGCTCCTCTATCTACTTTACATGCACGTATGACTGAGCTCCTCTATCTACTCTATGTGCATGTATGACTGAGCTGCTCTCTCTATTCTACATACATGTATGACTGAGCTCCTCTCTATATACATGTATAACTGAACTTTTTCTTGAGATCCATACATTTCATAGATCTCAGCTTTACACACATAATGTACAGATGTGTTTAGTTCTTTCCTATACCAGCATGTATCAGTGAGCTCTTTACATACATGTGTTGCTAAGTTATTTTACATACTGGACATAGTTGGTTTGCTGAGTGCTTGGGAGCAGTTCTCTTCTATGTATTTATATGTATATGTTATTTTTAGGGTGGATTATCCGGGATCCCTATGTGACAGCACAGTAGTATTATATGTAATGTGTGTATGAGGAGACTTCATACAATGCAGGAGTAGACGTGGTACCCAGCTTTGCCACCCATTCATCATGGCCGAAGCCACCTTGTCCGGGGTCCTACTATGCCAGCGATGCTCCCGTCTGCTCTTCAGAGGTGTCCACAGAGGGGTTGGTGGCAGCAGATGGCACAGCTTTGATCCCAGCACAATACAGAGTCCCTATCTGACCCTGAGAGCGGCGGCCTCCTCCTCCAGGACGGAGAGTGCCTTTAACGTGTTTGACAGAAGTATGAAACGGAAGCAGAAGATTTGGGCAGCATTGCAAGATAACGCTCGGGAGTATGACTACCTCAAGGAAGAAGTGAGTATGGCTGGTAAGACCGATCTTCAGCTGATGGAGGTGTTGGCATCTGTCAATGATCTACAAGTTCTGTTTTGCTTTGGCAGCCATAGTTGCCCACAACAACCTTTCAACTTTTGGTGTCTTGTATTTTCTAAGTGAAGTAGCTCCAACATTTGCACTGTGTTACAACGCAGGTTGCCTTAGTGTCTTGAGGTGCCATAACGAATGGCACTGCAACACAGTAACGCCTGTACATGTATTACTACATAATACAGAAGTGTAAATGGGACCTTTAAATGAGAGGTCTTTATTTAGCGCTCTGTCAAACCTTAGTGTCCTGGTGCATTAGTGTGCATTTTTTCATGCGTTACTGCGCTTAGCATTAAGGCACCAATTTGAATGAATGGGCTGGCAGTGCTCCAAAACGTTTAAGAAAACCGACATGCATCATTTTTGGCAACACAGCTCACCACAGTGCATGGTAACACTTTATTGTGCATTGTGTTGTACTGCAAAGCCTTTGCGTTGGGGCTACATTGCCTCAGTGTGTTGGGGTTCCATTCAGAATGAATGGCACTTCAAAGCGCTAATGTTCTAAAAGTGGCCATACACTACAGGAATAATCAACCAACCTAAATTTGCCCAGTGGGTGCCGCTGTCTGCACCCTTTTGGCTGGCTTCACTTGGTCAGTTGATCAAAGGAGCCGGTCAGAAAATCTTGGAATGAAAAGAGCGGGCCACTGTCAGATTACAATGAAGCGAGCGGGAGATTCGTTGATCAACACTTATAAGCGCTGATGGAGGAATCTGTAATATGGAGGAATCATTGTATGGCCAAATTTAGTGTGCATTGCGGTAATGTGTGTGTTATAGGAGAACTATGGGGTTAGGGCTTTTCCCCATAGTTCTCCTAAGGGTAACGAGAGGACACAAACTAGCATCCTCCAGTCACCCTAAGCTGACTATACCGCGAGCTGTAGACGCCGCAGCTGAAACGGTTCCCAACAATTATGTCTGGATCCGCCCATCTGCGTGAGTGACAGCTGGCTCTGCCTATCTAGAGGCAGAGCCTGCTTTACCCGCCCCTCCCCCGTCCGTTCCGTCAGTCAGCGCTGGAGGAGCGGGGAGGGGGGAATCCAGTCCCTCCCCTGTCACGGCTCTCTGCAGTGACAGGATCGAGTGAGCGAACGCCGGTATGTGTTCGCTCACTTCCCGATCTATTGAGCGGACATGTGACAGTCTCATTGTCACAGGTCGGCAAGAACTATGAGGTGAGTGAGTTCTTCTTTAATGCACCACTTTGCAGTGGACCTGTTTGTTTGGGTTCTCAGTGATGTCCTCCTTAGCACTTTACAGAGTCTAGAAAACCATTGACATCAGTGTCTGCCCTAGTAGGACCTTGCTGTATAATGCTTCTTGCACAGCTCTACTGACATATACACTGAGTGGCCAGATTATTATGACCACCCCATCAGTACTTTGTTGGGCCACAAGATGACTCCACGAGATGACTTCGTTGGGCCGCCTTGTGACTCCACGAGATGTTGAAAGGTGATGCGAGGAATCTGACACTGCACTGTTGCCCTTCTGTTGTCTTGGACCAGTCTTGCCACTCTCCGTTCTGCCCTAACATTGACTAGTCGCTGACGGCCACAATTCGCACGTTCAGATCCAGATTTTCGGTTGACAGTCCAGTCTTTAAACACTTTAACAACAGCTGCTCTTGAAAATGTAACGAATTCTGCTGTTTTGCTGATAATCGCTCCATGGCTCGCGCCAACAATCATCCCACGTTCAAAGGCTGTTAAAGGAGAACTATGGGGTTAAGGCTTTTCCCCATAGTTCTCCTTAGGGTAACGGAAGGACACAAACTAGCATCCTCCCGTCACCCTAAGCTCTGTCTACTGCTGCTCGCGGTATACTGAGACGCCGCAGCTGAAGCGGATCCCGACAATTATGCCGGGATCCGCCCAGCTGCGTGACTGACAGCTGGCTCTGCCTATCTAGAGGCAGAGCCAGCTGTACCCGCCCCCTCCCCCGTCCGTTCCACCAGTCAGCGCTGGCGGATTGGAGGGGGGAATCCCTCCCCTGTCACGGCAGAGAGCCGTGACAGGATCGAGAGGTGAGCGAGCGTCGGTATGTGTTCGCTCACCTCCCGATCTACTGAGCCGACCTGTGACAGTGTCATTGTCACAGGTCGGCTAGAACTATGAGGTAAGTGAAAAGCACTCACCTCATAGTTCTCCTTTAAACCTCTAGCAACTTCAGCGCGAAATTATCGCTAATTTGCCTACAAACGTCAGGTGGTCATAATAATCTGGCCACTCAGTGTATGGTCTGATACCAACTAAAGTAAACCTGTCATGAGAGCAATATGGGGGCTGCTAATGCTGGTCTCCTGAGAATGCTAGTGACCTGGCTGTGTCTGACTCCCAGTTGCTTATACTTGTTTTATCGATGTATGTAGATGTCCGTGCATCAGTATGACAGCTGATGAATTAGTATTTCTGGAAGTGGAAGCCTCTGTTTTTCTCTCATATGACATTTTCCCTTCATGACAGAATCTGTGATTAAGGTTTTAGTTGTAGGAAGAAACCAGTGCATCCATTGGGTACCCATACAAACAGTGGCAGAACCTACAAACTCAGTTTAAACATTTGGTGTTCAACCCCAAAAAACTAACACTGAAAAGCCACTGTGCTCATCCATGGGCTGCCACAACCAAACCTATTCCTAATTCTCTGTCCTTCTTCTGCGCTGTGTGTCTCTGTAGTCTGAAGTTGGGTGTTGCAAAAGACAGCAGACTGACAGTCCCTCTGACAGCAGAGCACAATAAGCAAAGCAAATGTCATTAACATGTGACAACACTGTGTTCCCAGAATGCACCATGCTGAGTGTTAGGCTGGGCACACACCTTACAACCATCGCAAGACTTTTGTCTTGCGATGGTTGTAAGGTACTTAAAAAAACGTACGATCTGCCTATGTTGCATAGGCAGATCGTACTTGCGATGATCGCAAGCCACGCCCCCTGAGGGGCGGGCTTCCGATGACCGCAATGCCGAACGGGCAGTGTGCGCTTGCGCACACCGGCCCGTACGGCTGTTATCGTTATCGTACGGACATGCCACAAACCCGCCGAACATCGTACGATGCTCGGCGGGTTTTCGAACATGTCCGTAAGTTTAAAGTCGTGCGACCTTACAGTAGTAGAGGTCGCACATCTTCCACACACCTTACGATAATCGTACGATCGCGGGATTTCCCGCGATTATCGTAGGATTATCGTAAGGTGTGTGGGCACCCTTAGTTGAATGATGTGTTTGAAGCACTATATTGATATTTCTTTGCGTCTCCTATTTTTATTTTACCCTATAGGTGGGAGCTCGAGTTGCTGATCGTGTCTTTGATGTAGCAAGGTGAGAATTCAAGTAGAACTATGGCCCCCTATTTAAAAGATGTGCTGCAGCATTGTATTATATAATAAAAGTGCTATAAGTGCATCTATATGTAGCATTTATTATTGTACTTACAGCCGCACTGCAAAGTTCCACCTAACTTTCTTGCACAACAGGGGGTGAGAAGATGTTGCAGGGGACGTGGCTATCAGTATTGTCGCTTGTGATTTACAAACCTTTACCTTGTCAGTTTGACCACACCTAATCCTGTCCACTGCTTTTCAGATTGGAATCGTTGCCTTTGTTACTGAAACCCTCCCAATGTGAGCTGCAGTGTCTGGGAGAGGGAGCATATGAGACACAAATGAGGACTTGTTCACACCATGTGCATTAAGCTGCGTATTTTCCCAATTCATCTTCCAGGACTGCGCAGGAGAGCAGGGATCCACCCACTAACAAACAGGGCACTTAATCCACAATTAAAATGAAACGGGCCGCCCCTCCCAACCACCTTTTAGTTATTATGTCTCCTCTGGCCCAACAGGAACATTGCAATCATTTTTTTTTTTTTCCGTGGGCCTTTGTGCTAGTTGCAGGGGCCTCCCTTTGTATTGATAAAATAGAAAACCATGTTGTCTGTGGTGTGGGGTAAGGGGGGGAACCATCATTTGCTAGCCATGCTCCCTATGTATACTGCCAAGTTGTGGCTGGACCTTGCCCTGTGGCGTCCTTGGGCAGGGGCCTCCTCAAATGGACCGCAATCCAATGCATGGTGCAAAGAGGGCACAGAAAAAAACGATTGTTCTGTATGTGCCCTGTTCACACCATACATGTGCAGTGGTATGCATGAAATGAAGACGCTGTGAAGCCCTGAAGGAGGATTTGCCTCAATTTGGGAAAGTGAAGGAAGTTTTTTGTTTACGTTATGAGGCTTGTGCATCACATAATAACTGAATTTGATACTTGTTTAGACTTTCATACACATGTCTTTAGTTGTACTTAAGGGTTCGTTCACACCATAGGCAGTGCGTTCCGGTCAGAAATCAGACCGGAACGCACTGCCAGCATTGCGGCCGGCTCCCTTTTTTGCTGGGCAGGAGGGGGCGTGGCCGGCCCCCTACTGCAAGCACTATTTTGAACGCACCCCACGGAACGCACTGCAGGCACAATGTGCCTTGCGATTCCTATGCGGGCAAATACGGCCCATGCGTATTCTGCATTGCTGTATAATGGATTGTTGGAATTTGTAGTCCTCTATAGCTGGTGGTATTCTGCATTGCTGTATAACGTATTGCTGGGATTTATGGTCCCTCTACAGCTTGGCGTCAGTGGCAGAACTACCTGGGGCGCAACGTTTGCAGCTGTGACTGGGCCCTGGAACTCCACCACTGATCTAAAATCATTAGTCTGTATTGTTTTAGATCAAATGTTACAAGGCAATAAAAAAAAAAAGAAAGGGATCAGTAATTGGCATCGGCGAGTACTTGAGGTAAAGTATCAGTACTTGTCAGGGGTGGGGAATTCGTATCGCCCGACGCCCGGGACATGTGGTTCAGGGTGCCGGGCAAGTGTTTTTTTCACTGTTTTAGCCCTGCTACGGACAAGTAGCAGGACTGGTTTTCTTTTCTTAAATGAGCGGCGAGAGTCCTTGGACAAGTAGTTTTTTCAAAAATGTCCACACCCCTGCTTATACTGTCCCTAATTGTTATAAGCCAAACAGCATTGTTATTAGTTTAGTCAGGGGTAGCCAAACTCCGGCCCTCCAGCTGTGGTGAAACTACAAATCCCATGATGCATCTCTCTCCGGAAGTCATGTCTGTGGCTGTGAGAATCTTGCAATGCCTCATGGGATTTGTAGTTCCACCACAGCTGGAGGGCCGAAGTTTGGCTACCCCTGAGTTTAGTGATAAATCCCACACTCCTCATTAATTCATATAATTTCATTATGTAATATTTCATTAAATATATATACTATACGTGTCTATATGTGTATGTATGTGTGTGTATGTATATATATATATTGGGAGGAATTTATCAAAACTGGAGCAGAAGAGTTCTGTTATTGGAGATAATACCACTACTATTGCCATAAGTGTTGTTCTGATGTTACTGTTTATGTACTGCATGTGTTCAGTGGCTGCGTCCACTGCCTTTACGATGGGACTTGGTGTCCCCTGTTCAAACCTTTTCTTGTAATTTTGAAAAACTTGTTAAATAAAAGAATTTATAAAAAAAAAAACTGGAGCAGAAGAATCTGGAGTAGTTGCCTATGCCAACCAATCAGCTTCTCTATTCAGTTTGTTCAGTTAAGGTTTGAAAATGAAAGGTGGATGCTGATTGGTTGCCATGGGCAACTGCTCCAGATTCTGTCTACATACACACACACATCTATGTATTTCATTAGTCCTTTAGGTAGGAGTAATGCCTAATATGTTTGTTTTGCAGAACATTTCCTTTTGCTTTAGATCTTGGCAGCGGAAGAGGTTACATATCACACAATTTAACAAAGGTAAGAGCTTTGCAGTAGTCCTAGAACATGTATCTAAGGACAAATGTAGATAGATAATTAAAATGTGAAATCATTAGGCAGCTATACAATGGAAATATGGACCACCCAACTTACCTGGGATTAGATTTAACAGAGTTGACCATACATAAGCACTCTATGCCAAATTAAAAACACTTTTGGCTGGAGTTGGGCTTTAAAAGGAAGCTAAAAGAAACATAAACAATGACTTTAGGTCTGCCCGCCCCCACCTTCTTTCCTTTTAGTTATATTGAAAAAATGTTCCCAAATAGGGGTGTCATGGATTGGTTCCCCCGCCGCAGTGCCATCATGCCAGTGGTTTCCCACTCCTTTCATAAAGCAGGAAATGTGAGAGGCAGACATATTGTGCTGTTTTTATTTATTTCTTTTTAATAAGTGCAGGGCAATAGATTTTTCTTTAAAAAGTGGAGTTCACCTTTAACTCAGTCCTGTCGGCTCAGGTGCATTAGCCCACCATTGTGTACACAATTACATTTTTTAAGCCAGGAAGAGCGCAGATGTATTGGCGCTGTTGCTATCTTGACATGCTAGGATGGGCCATGTTCCGGGATAAGCTGCAGTGGATTTTACTGTAGAGAGAAGGCAGAGCCGAATCCTGATACCTTCTGGCACACCAGGAAAAACCAGATGGCCTGATATGGTTTCCATGCCCAGTAAATGTTTGTTATGATCCTAGTCACTGAACAAATGATCAGATTGCACCCAAATCATTGCATCTTTCAGCAGTTAAAGGGAACCTGTCCAGGTTTTTTTTTGCCAAAGCTCAGCCATCCCTTCAGTGCTGAAGGCTTATGTTGCATCCCTTCTGGAAGTATTGTTGCTTGGGGGGCAAAGCACACATTAGTATATTCATTTACTGTAGCCTCGGGGAGTAGAAGGGAGCCTTGACAAGTCTCCTGAGAGTTTCTCTTTAAGGTGACACTAAACTCAGGAGTTAAATCTCCAAAATGCATTCAAGTACCTTAACTAGTAAAAAAAAAAATGCAGCCTATGGGCTTGTTTCCACCATCACCAGACCAGATCTGTATGCTATTTTGCAAATGCGGTTGCACGCGTTTTGACGCGTTCAAGTGCGTTCTTTTGTATGCACATTGTGTATTTTAGGTCATTTCCTGCTAAGCTTTTCACGTGCTTGTGACCTGCACAGAAGTTGAGCAAACATGGAGCCATGGAATGCAGGCACTATGTGTGATAATCCTGGTTGTTTTGGGTCATAAAGCTCAGGACCTTCTTGTACATAGCTGACAAACCTATCTGTGTCCACATGTTTGTCCACCATGTTTGCAGGACACATCCAAGGTTACCAATGTTCATGTGAAAACACCCTTTTCCATAAAGGAAGTGTCCAATGTTGATTAGGTTATCAAAGGTGACCAGCAATGGGGTTTTTTAGGGGGGGGGGGGG